ACCGCCGAATACAAAAGTAACCTACAATAACTACACAACAGCTACCCGCAACAGCCCACGATGCCTACCTATACTGCTTAATAATATACAGCCCACGATGCCTACCTATAGTACCTAACTACAATCTAAATACATAGTTTAAGCCTTACTCGACAAAGCCCAAGCTATGTATAAAGCCAAACTGGCAGACTGCAATCAGTAGCCGAAATTAGGTACAGCAGCTACCGACCACCTAACGTTAATGATAATGAGGTTTATTCCTGTAGTCCATGATCAGTTCCTTTGTCTTGCTCACGTTGAGGGAGAGGTTGTTTATGGCAGAGCAGAGAGACACATGCCACCTCCCCTTCGTAGGAAGTGTGCATCTGGGGGTAGGCTATAGACAGTGTGTTGGTGTGTGGGGGAGAGGGATCTCAGGCAGAGTTGCAGAGCCATTCTTCTGCCTGAGAGCAACAGTGTAGTCAGCCCGATTGGAGGTTCAGCAGAACATTGCCTTAGCTACCAGAGGAACAATGATTCAGATCGCCCCAAACTTATAGTGGCTTTTCTCTGCTCTATGAATCTGTTGAAGGGAGCAGCAGAGAGGCATCTCTAAACAGACAAATGGTGCATGTGTTGAGGGCTCCACCCTCAAAGATCAAGGATTCACTGTGCTGTGTTTGTTTGGCAGAGCCAGAGTCTACCCACTGAGCACAACAGCCCAGTTGTTTGATGGTTTCACCTGGCCCTGAGCTTGGCTCCAGGAGAGCACACCAACAATACACCCAGTGTTATCAGCCTCTCACATGTGCGTCTATGCAAATGTATTCAAAATGGGCCGTAAAGATTGGTTGCTGATTGGTGCCTTAAGCTAACGTTGGCTCAATTTACGGTAAAAGGAGACATCTGCTCTTATTTCTTTGAATCTAGATACATTGTAAGGTTTATATAACCATTAGATGAATTTGACTTTGGATTCATATCAATCCCCATGAATAGCTAGCTAATTGAAAGAAAAAGGGGAATAAAGGTCTGATTAAATAGCTGCCTTAGAGAGAAGAGGGATTTATGATAGAATGGATCTGAGAGAGAGCAGATAACAACAGGGATGACATCATAAATAAAGCTCCTGTGAGAGAGAAGTAGCCAGAGGACTGACAGCACCAGATTAAAGGCTAGGCCTTTTAAACAAATTGGGTGGTCAGAGAGGCATATTGCCTGTGTGCTAGAACATGTTTTATAGCTCAGCTATATAACCACTGTGACACAGAACACTTATAGCACAAGCCACAGGACATTATGCCATGAGCTCCAACAAGCTCAGATAATGGGTTCCTCATTTGATAATAATGAAAACTATGAGCTATGGAATACCATTATGTATTGTTGTAAACAGAGTAGTGTACATAAATGAATAATTAAGGCTCAGAATTTATTGTCAGGTCAATCTATTTATCTGATGCTGGACTGTTTTTTTGTTGTGCCTCCCTTTTTATGGAGCAATGAAAACTGGCTGAATTAGATCCAGTGTGCAATGACCTTTAAAACACAAATCCAACACCTACATGTTCTGGAATGGAGAGGGTGGGTGAAATGATCTCCTGTTCACTGGTTTGAAACATTTGAGAGACCTTGAGAAATACTTCAACAACCCTGTTAACTCATTCTATTACAGTATTTCACTGGTGTTGATTTTCAACACCTTAATGAACTGTAAAAGTATGACATTTGAGTCACTTTATTTGAGTAATGCCAATGGATGTCTGACGAATCACCTTCAAAAATCCTAGTGGCTTTTAATCAACTCTATGAAGGTTAGGTCCCCCAGTAAGGGATTTGAATAGCTAAAGGTATCCATTAATTGAATAGAGTCATCATAATGTTGCTATTTTTATCATCTGGTGGTGGCTTTGAATGATAGCATTATTGAGTAACATATTGTATTTTATGAGGCACTATGGATTTTATTGTGTCTGAAAATGTTGTCATCAAGCCTCTTATGGAATGGCTGTAGATATTCTGCTGCCCTGGGACTAATCAGAGCAACTAATCAGAGAAATATAATGTAAGAGAAGAGAGCTACCAAAGGTCAATAAAGGCAGATTGCTGTGAATCAATTACTGTATGGGTTAAGGAGAGGCAAGGATCTCCTCATGGATGTGAACAGCCTGTATGATTGCAATAAGAAAGTGATGGTTTTTGAGATGGCAGAGAGAGAGAGAGAGAGAGAGAGAGAGAGAGAGAGAGAGAGAGAGAGAGAGAGAGAGAGAGAGAGAGAGAGAGAGAGAGAGAGAGAGAGAGAGAGAGAGAGAGAGAGAGAGAGAGAGAGAGAGGATGCAGCAGGAATGTGAATGGCACAGCCAGGGCAGGGCAGAGCCGACAGCACTCAGTGGGCTGAAATAAGTTGTCTCTGCCACCCTGGTATGTGTGGACCTGGCTGGCTGGCTGAGGAGAGCCATGTTAGGGAATGATGGATGAGTGTCCTTTAGCATAAGCTTAATATAATGAAGACTCTGAGGGAGGCCACGGTCTTAGCGGATAAGACAGGACTCAGCTATGGCCTCCAGCTCTTTGCATCATGTGTGAAGTGAAGAGAATGGATTTCATTTTTTTTTGCTAGAATAAGCACTTTGATCTTCAACAAATGAAATGTCAAAGTATTGCCTATGCTAACATCCTGTACAGTAGGCTAAAGCCAGTTCCATTTACATTCAATATTCTAAATATAAAATTTTTAAATATACATTTGTTGAAACAATTGAGGAAACAGTGGGACAGCGTTCTCCAACCATCTGCTTTCTGTCACTGGACCCTAATTTACTGCAGCCAAATCTTTGTTAGGTAGGCTGAGAGTGCAATAGCACTGACAGCAACAAAACACCATGTTTTATTGCAAGGAAACAGAAGGCACTGAGAATTGCTCAGGTGGGTCCACTTGAATAGGTTGCCAAGCATGTGTTAAAGCAATTCAAGATGTATGTCCAATCGACATAATCATTAACCAAATGTATTACATTAATGTATTGGCAAGGCAAACTCTTTATTTATGTGTCAGTGAATAATACTGACTTCCAACTGTTCTGAGATTATTTTATTTAAACATTTGACATGGATTTAGGACCCTATATAGCCACCTGTCCAATGTACAGTCGTGGTCAAAAGTTTTGAGAATGACACAAATATTAATTTTCACAAAGTCTGCTGCCTCAGTTTTTATGATGGCAATTTGCATATACTCCAGAATGTTATGAAGAGTGATCAGATGAATTGCAATTAATTGCAAAGTCCCTCTTTGCCATGAAAATTAACTTAATATCAAAAAAACATTTCCACTGCATTTCAGCCCTGCCACAAAAGGACCAGCTGACATCATGTGTTGACGAGGACAAGGCTGGAGATCACTCTGTCATGCTGATTGAGTTAGAATAAGAGACTGAAAGCTTTAAAAGGTGGGTGGTGCTTGAAATCATTGTTCTTCCTCTGTTAACCATGGTTACCTGCAAGGAAACACGTGCCGTCATCATTACTTTGCACAAAAAGGGCTTCACAGGCAAGGATATTGCTGCTAGTAAGATTGCACCTAAATCAACCATTTATCAGATCATCAAGAACTTCAAGGAGAGAGGTTCAATTGTTGTGAAGAAGGCTTCAGGGCGCCCAAGAAAGTCCAGCAAGCACCAGGACCGTCTCCTAAAGTTGATTCAGCTGCAGGATCGGGGCACCACCAGTGCAGAGCTTGCTCAGGAATGGCAGCAGGCAGGTGTGAGTGCATCTGCACGCACAGTGAGGCAAATACTTTTGGAGGATGGCCTGGTGTCAAGAAGGGCAGTGAGGAAGCCACTTCTCTCCAGGAAAAACATCAGGGACAGACTGATATTGTGCAAAAGGTACAGGGATTGGACTGCTGAGGACTGGGGTAAAGTCATTTTCTCTGATGAATCCCCTTTCCGATTGTTTGGGGCATCCGGAAAAAAGCTTGTCCGGAGAAGACAAGGTTAGCGCTACCATCAGTCCTGTGTCATGCCAACAGTAAAGCATCCTGAGACCATTCATGTGTGGGGTTGCTTCTCAGCCAAGGGAGTGGGCTCACTCACAATTTTGCCTAAGAACACAGCCATGAATAAAGAATGGTACCAACACATCCTCCGAGAGCAACTTCTCTCAACCATCCAAGAACAGTTTGGTGACGAACAATGCCTTTTCCAGCATGATGGAGCACCTTGCCATAAGGCAAAAGTGATAACTAAGTGGCTCGGGGAACAAAACATCAACATTTTGTGTCCATGGCCAGGAAACTCCCCAGACCTTAATCCCATTGAGAACTTGTGTTCAATCCTCAAGAGGCAGGTGGACAAACAAAAACCCACAAATTCTGACAAACTCCAAGCATTGATTATGCAAGAATGGGCTGCCATCAGTCAGGATGTGGCACAGAAGTTAATTGACAGCATGCCAGGGTGGATTGCAGAGGTCTTGAAAAAGAAGGGTCAACACTGCAAATATTGACTCTTTGCATAAACTTAATGTAATTGTCAATAAAAGCCTTTGACACTTATGGAATGCTTGTAATTATACTTCAGTATACCATAGTAACATCTGACAAAAATATCTAAAAACACTGAAGCAGCAAACTTTGTGAAGACCAATACTTGTGTCATTCTCAAAACGTTTGACCACGACTGTACTATAGTCTAATGACCTTTCACTATATTACTGCCCCCTTGTGAAATGTATGCTTTTCATTCTCTGAGTAAGAAGGATTTACCATTCCACCTCATGAAATTAAAAAACAAGTAGCAATTCACCAATAATACAACTTCCATGTTTGTTTAATGAGAGTAGTCAGGTGTAATGTTTCATTCGAAACACCTGAGCACTAAGCATGAAAAAAACAGCTCATGCAATGTCTTCACTTTTACGTGTATTTAATTCGTTGTCCAAGGTTCTGAAATGTGCTTTCCCAAGGACTCATCACGTGACTTCGCTGCCTGCCTAGCTCAGCACCGAGCTCACTGGTTTCTGGAGATTTCACGTGAGAATACGACAAACCACCTCGCTCACACTGTAATTCTCTTCCTTTTCCAGTCTCCGTTTAAACTGAGAGTCGGTCTGTTTGTTCTTTCTTTTTGTGGAGGAATGTGATAATCGAAGCCATTACAAGCTCGTCAACGAATTTAGGATGATACACCCGTGTTCTTCGTTTTGTTTATCTATTTTTCACTTCATGCCAACACTGTAAATGCAGGGGGTAGAGCGGACTGCTTGTCCGCAATCAGAAAGTCCACGTCTGTCTGGGGACCGGGTTTAAGAGGATGTAAGGATCAATTAGATTTTTTCAACCAAAGTCTCCTTATCAAAATGCAGAAGGGAATACGATTTAATGATGGTCATGTCACCTACCTGGGTCTTTTGGCAAAGAAGGATGGTACGAGGCGAGGTTGCTTGAGCAAAAAGAGCTCAGACAACACAAAATGGCACTCAAAGTGGTTCGCTTTATTACAAAATATGCTGTTTTATTTTGAAAGCGAATCAAGCTCTCGACCCGCGGGGTTATACCTGTTGGAGGGATGCGTGTGTGACAGAGCGCCGTCACCTAAACCCTCACAATCATCCAAGGAGTGTTTAGAAAAGCAGGTAGGAATAACACACATTCAAGTTCATAACATTGTCTTTTTTGGGGGGAAACGACTGTAACTAAATTACAGGTTGATTGAATAAACATGAATGATGCACCAGTTACCGATGTACAGATATCCTCATGATGAGGTTGAAAGCAGGTGATCATGTGAATCAGAAGGTTCAGTGTTATCAGTGCATGTTGCGAATCTTTTTTTTGGAAGAGTAGACTATCCTACTTGAAGTGTTGTCATTATTTATGTTTTTTTTTCCTATTCCTCTTTATCCACAGCAATTATTCCATTCCAATCCAGTGGAAATATAACCTACAGTAGGCCTATATCAGATTACATTCAGAGCCGTTTGCTCAGTGTGCGTGTGTTATGCAATCTGCATCGGATTAATGATTCCATTATCAACACCGAATTGAATACGGAGCTGCCTCGCGGTTTTTCTGCATTGTGCCTTTATGGGGTTTGCTTATTTTAGACAAAAATACAATAGCAACTAATTGGAAATTATGGATTTATAGAAAAATATAAATCCCTTAATCCATATAGCCTACATAGTCTATAGGCCTATATGATTTTTAAAATGTGGTTGATCTGGACATATTATTGTGGAACCAACGTAACGTTATTTCACTGATATACAGTCAAGTTTGGTGATACTGTTTTCTTTTTTTCAAGAAAATTGCGCTAAAGAAAAAAGGTATTGCATCCCACAGTCGCCATCTTGTGGAACACGGACGTAATACCACTGTTTGACGTATTGATTTAACTCTCGCAGACTCGCACTGATATTAATAGCATCCTACCTTGGCAACTGCGTCTGCAGCAAATAGTGTTTAATAACAAGACCGTAGACCTATTTCAAGTGAGCATTGGGGTCATCATCACTATTGTTGTTATGTTTTGGTACACTGCATTTTTCTCTCAAAGAAATGGGCTAAGTTATTCCTTCACATTGGGATCAGTGAATGGTAGGATGAGGTTGTTCAAGTCTGGAAGAAAAAAATAAAACATAATAATTTGTCTTGATTGGCTACTCACTGTAAGCCTATTATGAATAAACAGTAGGCAATGGTCTGTAATATTTCCAGTACTTTCAACTACATACCCATTGATGTGGAAGAATATTATTTATAATGCTGGAGTAAATCTGTAGAAGTAGACACTGTAAGATACTACTTTCTTACTTCAAGTAAGATGGTTAACTGATACCCTTCATCTTATTATATGGCTCAACTTGTTTCAAATTCCTTACAGAAAAACAGTCATGAAAAACAGAATACAAAATGGTGCTGTAATCCTGGTGTTCTCTATTACTGATATAGAAAAGTTAGAAAGATTGTGCACATGAAGGAAGATGTAATGATTGTGGAATGTTTTGTGTGTAGGATCATTGGATTGAGGCTCTATCTGCTAGTGGTTCTGTTTGTGTCTGTTTTGTTCTGTCTGCTGTTCCTATCCATGACTCTATAGGGCCGTGGTCCAAAGTGAGTCCAGGCCTTTCCTGTGAACAGCTGTCCCTGTGCTGACAAAGCAGTATGTGGCGTAGTGGCTAATATTTTGCTCTCCCAGTTCCCCTCATAAGAGAATGAAAACTCCTCATATCACGAACGTGCAAATTGTTACAGAGGAATTTGTCAGGAATTTCCTTGTTTTGATCCATCCTGTTCAACATGATTATCGGATGGCTAAATAAAACAGAGATTTTGAGGTTGTTTTGATAGTGTCTGTGGAGTCTGTATTTGAAGGAATGATCCATTCCCACTTGTCATGCTCCATAGCTGCCAGAGTCAACAAGCTCTGTTCACAACTTCATCCGTGTTACATAGTTCAGATTGTATTTGTCACACCCCATTGCATCCTACTACCATCTCTAAGCCAACATACATTACTGTTTATAGCAATTATTTAACAGAAAACAAAAACACCACCATACTCTCACATATAGTACATGTGAGTGTTCATTGGTCAGTCAGTGTTCATTTGGTAAAAGATGAGCAATACATTATAAATTATATGCCATTATTTAATATACAGATGCCTAATCTTAATTAGATCACTTTTTTGTTGCTGAGAATTTTCGTGCACAGCAGGAAATGCAAACTTGTAGTGTATTCAAGTTTTAAAAAGGCTTCTAAAGTTTGTAATTTCCACTTTAAAAAGTCAGACTTGATTTGCCCTAACGAAAAATCTATCAACCCCTACAAAAAATGTCCATTAATTATAATCCACATAATAATTCACATTTCATGTTGCTGCAGGATTCTTTTCCTGCTGTAGCAAACGGGCTCAAATTAAGATATGGCATCTGTATAAGAATGAGCTGTATATTTATGTCTTATGGGTATGTATAATCAGAGACCATTCACCTTGTTTGCACACAAGCAAGTTTATCCTGAATGAGGATATTGGATGGCACAGAGACAATCAACAGACTAAATCTGTGACAACCCTAGGATTAAAGATAATCTTCTATAGTCATGGTATGCTGGTTTGTAATGAATGTTTTCTATACTATTCATATAACTTGTATCATATTTCTCTCACTCCCATTTCTGCCCTCACACATTGGCAGATTTACATGAAATTTTACTGTGAAGTGAAATGCAATGATGCAGGTCGTTGTGAAGTTTGACAGCTTTAGGGTCCACCATATTGATGAGAGCGCAGACAGACAGGGATGCCGGTGCTTTCTAAAGAGAGCATTAATGCCCCAGGTAGAATGACAGGTCAGTAGATATCTTGCCTTTCTCATATTTGCATAAGAATCAGGTGTTTAAATTACCTTTTAACTGTCACTACAGTTCTGGATTGAGCATTTATTCCCACATTTATATTTGTCCCCAAAAACCATTAACTAAAGAATGCTAATGTATTTGAGCCCAAGGTTCCTATGGCAACCTTATTTGCATCTAAAATAATGATGTGTGGAAGGGCTAGGGGACTGCAGAGAGTATCAGTGTGTCGTCGCGACTCCGCTCCCTTCCCCTATTAATACAACCAACCGCGCTATCTGTGCTAAATTTGTTCCTTGCAGTACCTCGTAGGGGTCAGGGCCCATTTATAGAAAAACACAGTCACTCCTCTTTGGAGAACAGCAGCATTTTCTAGCATTCCGCAGCCAGTGATGGCTGATATATTTCTGTTCTGTTCTTTCTCACCCCACTTTGAGGTAGCTGAATGAGTGTATGACACTCAAAGCCAGACAGAATATTGGGAATTGTTCTTGCTATGAGCAAAAACCTGTAGTAGATTGCCTCTATACAGTATATTTTACCACTTAAGTTCTCCAACATTGTGCAGAATTAAATGGCAGGATAATATGTGACTTGTAAAAATAGCTAATTCACAGGAAGGGAAGCATAGTTGGGAGGAAAACTATTGACGCTGCATGCCTGGTTGCTCTTGTGGACAGGTGGGATATTGTTTTATTACAAAGGCCTCTGCTCTGGCTTTTTTGTTATTCTGTTAGGGGAATGGGTTGCAGGTACAGGCATGTAGCAGATGTTGGTTTAGGCTGTATCACAACATTGACTCACTTACTCGTGACTTAAACCTGTTTATTCCTTCCTTGGGGAGCATAGGTCATCCACAATTTTCAACCAGCAGGCACAACATTCCATTATCACAACATTGATTTTCTAGCGTCATGAGAAAAATGTTATTCATTACTTACATCTCCAAAACAAACAATTATTCAGTTCAGATCATCAGGATTGCAGCATTGATTGTATATGTTAAGAAACCATTGAAAGTGTGTGAGTGGTATGACTCAGCCGTAAACATAAAGCGTGAAGCAGGCTGTGTGTTAAACAAGCCACTCTCCCTGCTCTTAAAGAGAGGATGAAGGAAAACTACAACAACAACAAGCATGCATCCCTGACACAAATAGATTATTTTTGAAGGGAGGATGAATACCTAATGAATGTGAAGATTGAAAAGCATTCAGCCATGAATAGTGATGAGGTACAGGTTGATGGGCGCCTGTTGGACATCTGCAGGCCAAAGATAAGGCTTGGCTTTCACTCAACATGGTTGCTGACAAAGTACACACAAGGAGTCACATTTTTAACCTTGACCGTGATTCCAATGTGTGAGATGTGATAATGTAGACGTTCTTTTGCCAAGCAGCACTGATCTTTTTCCATCTTGCCATGCCATTCGTTGTGTGTTTTGGTGTGGTCAGACCATTTTTTTTACAAGAAAATTGTAAGAGCAATGAGATTCTTATTTGAAGAAGGAAAACTCATCAAATGTTAAGGGAGTGTTAAATGTACAACAACAGTGTAGAAATGGACTATATGTACAAAACAGTAGTCTGGCATGGTCTGAAATGAACTTTTGTTTAATCAACTAATGTGGATGGTCTACGATCGTGACTGTGATGGATGGTCTATGATCTGTGATGTCTATGAGGTGACTGTGATGGATGGTGCATGGTCTATGATCGTGACTGTTATGGTTCGTACACAGACCTAGTGGTGCTGGGGAATTCAGCGCAGAGAAGACCTGCTTAGTTAAAATGGAGTGAGACAAGAAGCGCTAAGAGCCTATCCATTCGCACAGAGTGGAGTTGCTAGGTAACAGGTAGCACACAGTTATGTAATTGGCAATGCCTCCAGCTTACATGTCTTATGGCTTTTCCTCCTGGGAACCAGAGCCATCCCAGGCAGCCAGGCAGTCAGGGGGAGGCTTCCTACTAAAAGCCCCATCGATTGAGCTGGTGGGTGAGGATGTGGGTTTCCCTTTCCCACCCCCCTCTGTGCTGTTTACTCCTAATGTCAACAGTGAGAAAGGATAGATGTGTGTCTGCAGCACACAGATTTTTAAGGGCCAAAAATGCTCTTCATATTTTTCTGGTAAAATATACATTTGGTGTAATAGTTTTTGTGGTGTAGCATTGACTGACCTTTTCATTGCATTTTGTGGTTATAACATGTTATCTCATTTAGATTCCTATGGAGTAATACAAATACTTTTTATCATACAATGTATTAAAAAACAAAGAATACAAATGCCTCCTTACCCATGCAATCTAGTAATCTGTTTAAGAGCTAATTAAACCCTTGCTTGTTTTGGTGTGTTTCAGTACTACTTCACCGTCAATTTCACCCATGAAAACCAGAAAGCCCTGGAGTTGCGTACAGAGGATGTAAAGGACTGCGATGAATGGGTGGCGGCAATAACACATGCCAGGTACCAGGCCTCTACTACTCCCCTCTCTACCCAGTCAACAACTGCATCAACACACACAGGCTATTATTGATGGTTACTGTATGGCTGGGTATAATCTCTTACTGTAGATATGACATGAGGCATGGTTTGAAACTTGAGGTGTGATAAAAGTGTCATGCAGCATTAAGGCAAGCTTATTGACATACAGTTCTGGGGACAAATGCTAAAGAAAATCAGATAGGGGCCTTGAGAAGGACTGTGCAAAGGCCCCCTGTTTGGCTTTTTTAAATGTCCCCTGAGGTAATAGTATGTATGCAGCTCATGTTAAAACATATTGCTGACATCGCTCTGGTGTTGGATTTTGTTATTTAACTGTTGGTAGTGAATTGGTATTGTATGATTTCAGTTGAATGAAATGGGGTGACTGGTGATGTAGCCTACTTTATAATAATAATTGTGAAATATGCAGTGCCGTTGTAATAATTGGTGGTCTATTGTGACTGTGGATTTGGGCAGAGTTCTGAGGTTATTCTAAACCAGGGATGGGAAACTGGCGGCCCGCGGCCCCCCTTTTGTAGGCCTGCGGATCAATTTAAATGTTTAGGAACTCAACTTACTGTTGAGAGTTAAAATACTGGAATAAACAAGGTGCAATTTCGAAATGTGGTTGTACATCGCCCGTTTTTCTCTTGTTATGTCATGTTTCCATTAACTTGTCCAGTGATTTCTTTTTTCTTTTTCTTTTTTTTTCTCTTAGAAAATAGATTTGACAATTGCCTGCTACGGTGCGTTTCCATTTAACAATCTTGTGTCGATAAAAACATCTGGACGTAATGACATACACCTAAAAAATAAAACTTGTTCCCAAAAAACCTACCGTGTCTAATATAAATTCATTGGTTGAAGTGTTTCCATTACCCATTTAGGCAAATTGCGTATTAATAAATTGTCGACAGCCTGTGTGCCCTCCCACCTATCTGATTCATGTCTCAGGTAGCCCGCAAAAGCCAGCATGGATAGAATGCAAGAATTTACTAATATTTGCCATATTCTAATAATTCTCATGTGCCAACATATCGCCACGGTCTGTGCCATGGTGAATCCATGGTGAATCCGTGCCAGATCTGAAATAATTGGATGGTGAAACTTGTATCAAGCCAACCAGAAAAGCAAGGCAAAGCAATTCAGCCATTCTTAAAAGTCAGGATAGGATCCTGCAAAGAAACATCATTTTTATAGTTGAAAAATTGATTAAGCACGCAGCAGGCATTTGTGTGGAGTGGAGCTTCATTCTATAGGTACGTGTTGACATCACGTGTCCCACGTACCTTAAAGATTATTTGGCAAATATCATTTATTCGAAAAACACAGTTTCCATTATCATTTGTCGCGATAAAGAAAGTTTGGCAAAAGACAAATCCAACCCTGTCTAATAGATAAAAATGTTGTCGATCTTTAGAAAATGTATTCTCTATATACCATTTCAATTACACATTATTTTTGCAACATTGCTTTTGTCTAATAAACCTGGGTCAGTGGAAACATGCCTACTGACAGTCACTCGATTAGCCAATGTCAGCTAACATTATTTATATAAAAAAATATGTTTAGCGGCCAGCTATCTAAACCTGTAGTAATCATAGTCGAATTACCGACCTAGCTCCCATTGATTTTGTTAGTCACTCTCACTCAGATATCATATAAACATTTCTCTCCACCCTATGCCAAAATGTGTAGAATTGTGGAAAATTAGCTGTAAAATTAGAGAGAAAAATCTCTGACCCATGGCAAAATGAGTATAATTGCATGAAACTGCATATAAAATTGCTAAATCTTCTCTCCGCCCCATGGAAAAATGCATAGAATTGCAGCTAAATGGGGGGGGGGGGGATACGCAGACCAGCGAGCCACTATGATAAATTCAGATTTTTTGGTGGCCCCTACCCCCACCAAAGTTGCCCATCCCTGTTCTAAACCATATGGGCCTGCTGTATTTTGGTTGTTTATCTGCCGAGACAATATACTGTAGTAGCACTTCAGTGAACACAAAGGATATTAATATTTCACAGCACTCCATTATGTGAATGTGCATAGACCTACACACCTGAGAGGGCTGTATGGGTACAGGTGTGTCTGTGGGACGGGGGTGGATTGGTGGATGTATACAGTCTGCATATGGGGGAGCATATAGAGTCTTGAGTGTGTCTGGAGCTTTGAATGTATGGAAACATGTCTGTGGTGAGTTGCTGCCGTGTGTGTGAGTGTGTGTTTCCTGTCCACAGTTACAGGAACCTTGCCACAGAGCATGAGACGCTCATGCAGAAGTATCTCCATCTACTCCAGATCGTGGAGACAGAGAAAACGGTTGCTAAGCAACTTCGACAACAGATAGAGGACGGGGAAATAGAGATTGAACGGCTAAAATCAGAGGTAATATTCATAATGATTCTTTCTGCCTCAGTGGGGGATTGTTATGTTTTTGCTATACTGAACAGGAAATGGATTGGAGCTTGTGTGGGATCTAGGGCAACTACAGTACAGTTAAATGTCTCTCAGGAGCACCGCTCAAGATTTCTAGGATTTTGTCATCTGAGTGAACTGAAATGGATAAGGGCTGTGCTAGTTTTTTCTTTATGTCTATCTTATTTGATCATGAGAGAGCGAGAGAGAGTGATTGGGAGAGATTGGGAGAGGAGAAATGGGAGCGCCACTCTGTCACGAAGAGATGTGTGCAGACCCACCGGGCTGCACTTTGCATCTCCACTCATAAATAATCCCTCCAATAGAACTATGCTCCCTGCTGTATTCTTCAGATCAAATAGTCATTTTACTTTAATGTGCAAATGTGGGGCTTGAAATGAAATGGTCTGCTGAATATGCATGAACAGGGCTTTATTATACACAGTGCATTGCCCCCCCGCCCCCCACAAACATAATAATAAACTCTATCAGTCTATACAAAGTAAATGGGGACACTTACCTTCAGACAGTTCTGGGCAGCTCCCAGCTCTTTTGTGCAACACATTTATCGCTTTTCAATGTACAGCAGCACAGTATCGCACAGTGCGTCTGCATTTCTAACCAATGGAAAAGAGTGCTGATTTAGAGATATTAGCCAAGTGAACAGAGTTAGTATTTCCACCACCACTACCACATGTCAGAGCTGGCAGCTTTGACAGCCTCTAATCTCATTTGACACAGTCACTTTGTTAATATGCTGGGAAGTGAGGAGGAAACTTGGAGAGCTGGTTGTGAGTGATGATGACTGGTCTATCCTGTCTGTGGATGTTCTCTTTGGCAGATTTCCGGGCTGCACAAAGACAACGGGAAGATCCAGTCTAGTCCAACAGCCGAACCCAGCGAAGATGATGACTCTGAACTCAAGAAAATCAAAAAAGTACATCTTTACACAAAATATTTTAGACTATTTTCTGTATATTTGCCAATGTTGGGGGGAAAAACTCACCTTCCATTCCCCACAATTCCCGTGGTCTACTAGGTGCAGAGTTTCCTGCGAGGCTGGATGTGCAGGAGGAAGTGGAAGACCATCATCCAGGACTACATCCGGTCTCCCCACGCAGAGAGCATGAGGAAGAGGAACCAGGTGGTGTTCAGCATGCTGGACTCTGAGGCTGAGTACGTCCAGCAGCTCCACATCCTGGTCAACAACTTCCTTCGACCACTCCGTATGGCCGCCAGCTCCAAGAAACCACCCATCACCCACGACGACGTCAGCAGCATCTTCCTCAACAGGTGTGCAGCTGTAGATGATCACACCAAGCTAACCACTCACACTGCTGTCTCTCACCTCTCTCTGGGAGACAGTGATACGACTGTCTCAATGCTGTAGGAGTTTATGTTCATGCATTACAACTATGGTCGATAATGAAAACATAATGACACTAAGCTGTGTCAAAGCCTCATTCTAAGATGTTTATTTATTTTATTTATTTAACCTTTACTTATATAGGTAAGTCAATTAAGAACAGAATCTTATTTGCAGTGACGACCTGTCAAGAGGCAAGTGCAGCGATATAACATTTAAACACACTTGCACATACAGGCGTATTCGCTGTTTGCATGTTTAAATCCTTTTCACATAACTATGGCTACTGCATATTTTTCTCAGAATGGACACTTATAGTCTTGTTGATTTCCCCTTTTCTTTAGTGAGACCATCATGTTTCTGCATCAAATATTCTACCAAGGGTTGAAAGCAAGAATAGCAAGCTGGCCAACATTAGTTTTGGGTAAGCTGACTAAACTCATTTTTTGGGGGTCACTCAAATGGATGGATGAATATGATAATACAATGCCCCAATTGTCTTCAATATCATCTATCAATCTCTCATTCAGTGTATCAATCTCTCATTGGTCCTCTCTTTCCACAGCGGACCTGTTTGATATTCTACTGCCCATGCTAAACATCTACCAGGAGTTTGTGAGGAACCACCAGTACAGTCTGCAGATCCTGGCCCACTGTAAGCAGAACCGAGACTTTGATAAGCTGCTGAAGCAGTATGAGGCCAAGCCAGACTGTGAGGAGAGGACTCTGGAGACCTTCCTCACCTACCCCATGTTCCAGGTGGGCATACAGTACAGTATACACTACTGTCTTGTCGTTGACTGTCCAGACCCTGTCTCTCACCTGAAACAGCTCTCTCTGTTCAGACAAAGTCTCCTCCACTGATCACCAACAACACAGCAGCCATTTGTCTCACATGCCTTTGCTCAGAATATCCCTGTTATGTTTTTCATAACCACATAAACCGGTTGTTTGTGAAGCTCAAGGTTTCATAATGGCTCTTTTCTGGCAAGGCATGCAGTTTCAGTGCAGTCTGCTCCACTGGGGTCTAGTTTGGACTCTGCTGTGTTGGTAATACATTTCTGCTGATGACTGTGGATGTGCATAGAGATCCCCACCGCTACGAGTTTGTGTGTGTATGTGTGTGTGTTTGCACGCAATCTTGTATGCAAGTATGTGTGACTCACCTGCCCCTATTCATTCCCTGTCACTCCAGATTCCCCGCTACATTCTTACTCTCCATGAGCTCCTGGCCCACACACCACATGAGCATGTGGAGAGGACGAGTCTGGACTATGCCAAGTCAAAGCTGGAGGAGCTGTCCAGGTATACCTGCCCTACCACCTTATAGCACCAAAGCAGCACACAGGACACCTCAGTTTATCAATGCTTACCTAAGTTGTTAAACACAAACACAGTAGGATAATTGCTTACTGTACAGAATGTATACACACTGACAAAGTGAATACAATGACATTCCAAATGTGAAAAGACCAACCTCTCTGCCCCTAGAATCATGCATGATGAGGTGAGCGAGACAGAGAACATCAGGAAGAACCTGGCCATTGAGCGCATGATCGTAGAAGGCTGCGAGATCCTCCTTGACACCAGCCAGACGTTCGTCAGACAAGGTAAGCGCTCAGAGAAGATCCACAAAGGAAGCCCAGATCCCACATAAGGACACTATCATAGAAATTGATTTTCTACCTCTCAACTGTTTGACTGCCAGCCCCTTTGTGTTCTCACAAATTCAAACAACCATAGCCCTACCTGAGCCTCCATAAGGGAAAGACTTAACCAGCGGCTTGGCCCATATAATCCTGTCTGCCTCTGAAGAACAGCATGTACTGAAAGTGGGCCGACTCTATCATTTCCAAGGGTAATTAGACTGTTAGGAGGCAATACGACAGTGAGTCAAGGTTTGTAAATGTCATACATCCCCAACCGGCTTTGATGGACGTTTAAAGAAGAGGCAAAACATATAGAGAAATGGTTTAACCCTACAGTATGTATATATCCCCCCAGTCAGTGAACAGGTGAGGGGAGGCCTCTCCCAGTCTTGCAGTACAGTTGATCTGTGGGCCTCTCGTCACTGACAGGGCCCCCTGCTGTCTGTCTCTCTCCCTCCTGCCATACAGGCTCTCTTATCCAGGTGCCAATGAGTGAGAAGGGCAAGATCACCCGTGGGCGACTGGGCTCTCTGTCTCTGAAGAAGGAGGGGGAGAGGCAGTGCTTCCTCTTCTCCAAGCATGTCATCATCTGCACCAGGGGCTCTGGAGGGAAACTGCACCTCACCAAGGTGGGCGTGCCCTGGGCTGCTGAGCCTGCTATACAATCTCTCAAGATGCATCATTTACCAAACTCCCAGAGCTTAATGTAAAATAAAATAACATTCAGGGGATACAGTACACAGATGAGGCTTTAGTTAATACACAGCAAATTGGCCTTGATTTGATTTTGTTACCTAGTGTTGATTTTTCAGTGTAACATGTTTAGTGTTTATTCAGGTGTTAAATAAACACTAATTGGTGTAAAAGAACCCCAGTGTTGGTGTTAATAACCAGTGTTAAACAAAAACAATTATTGCATTTCCCAGAATGCTCTAGTGTTGGTTGGTTTTTAGAATTGTTTGTTTCAATATTTATGTTTTTGCATGTACATTGATTGATTAATTAATCATATGCTACTCATATATAAATAACATACATTTTTCTAAACTAATCTAATCTGTTTGTTGGACTTATTGCACCCATTACTGAAATGGTTGTTCCAGTTTAGATGGTTAATATCTTTATCACGACTCAGGATAAGACCCAGATGCAGACAGTTCGAAATAGCAAAGGTTTATTTACAAAAACGGGGCAGGCAAACGACAGGTCAAGGGCAGGCAGAGGTCAGTAATCCAGAGCAAAGTCCGAAAGGTACAGAAACGGCAGGCAGGCTCAGGGTCGGGGTCAGGACAGGCAGAGGTTGGTAATCCAGAACAGTGTCACAAGGTACAGAACGGCAGGCAGGCTCAGGGTCAGGACAGGCAGAATGGTCAAAACCGGGAAAAACTGGAAAAACAGGGGCTAGAGCAAAACAGGAGTACGGGAAAACCGCTGGTAGGCTTGATGAGACAAGACAAACTGGCAACAGACAAACAGAGAACACAGGTATAAATACACTGGGGGTAATGGGGAAGATGGGCGACACCTGGAGGGGGTGGAGACAAGCACAGACAGGTGAAACAGATCAGGGTGTGACAATCTTAGTCTTCCCAACCTTGCAATCGTTCTGAATTCAAAATGTTAGATATCCACACTCTGGCTGGATTCCAATAGAAATTACACAACACTTTGCAAGCCATCATAATGTGACTTTCAGACCTGAAAACCTTGAGTTTCAGGCCACTGTATTAGGGTAAAACTAGGCCCTCAAAATAAGGCCTTATTAATAAATAATTTTACTGCAGTGGGCTAAATCAGTGTTTCTTGGTAGTCTTAAACAAATCTGCTTTGAAACAAAAGTATGCATCTCACACACATGTTTATGGGCTTTATAAAAAGAAGACACCTGTACCATGTCAGATATAGAGTTAAATGTATACATTTTGAGTTTTCATCCCAATATAACACTTTATATACATTACAGAAGACTGAAATGTAACAAAACCGTTTGACATAGAAACACCGGATTTTCGGCTGTTTTTTTTAACGAATGTTTATTAATTATGAAATTATGACAAATATTAATAACATTCCACCCATGAGGCCACCAGAGGGCGATTTGGTCATTTGACTGCAGGAAAGGACTACATAGTTGTTGCAGCTGATTTAATCTGTTTATTGACCTGTAGTCCTACATGTGTTGAAAGTTGTCCTGCTACATAATAATGTCAGTGATATTGTTATTGATTATTCAGTAGTGGAGGGGATTCTTGGAATGTGGTTGTGTGTGTGCTAATGCATATTGTATGTTAATCTCAGAATGGCGTGGTCTCTCTTATTGACTGCACTCTTCTGGAAGACCCTGAGGGGACAGATGATGAGTGTAAGCGCCACACTATTTCATTCCTAGCTCACTGAAATATGGAGCATGTATGCTGTGCTGTATAATGTATGATTCCTGTATGTAGAGTGTAACATATGGTACAAGATGTAGAGTCACAATTTTATTAACTTTACTATAGACTCCCAGAAAAGTTTCATCTGTTCATCATCATTTAGAAGTACAAAAAACCTCTCATTTATGCCATAGTAATGACCCATTTCTCCTATTCACCTCTGTTTTTGTTTTGCCCAAAGCCAAACCAGACAAGGGCGTACAGGACATGGAGCATCTGGACTTTAAGATCGTGGTGGAGCCTAAAGAAGGCCAGTCGTTCACAGTGATCCTGGTGGCCTCCTCACGGCAGGAGAAATCTGCCTGGACCAGTGACATCAGCCAGGCACGTCTGTTCTGCTCTGCATGCATTGCATCTGTCTGTCTCCAGCAGGGAGACATGGGTGTCTGTCTGCAGAGTGGCTGTACTCACACCTTTCCTCTCCCTCACTCCTTCTCTTCTTCTCTCTTACAGTGCATAGACAACATCCGCTGCAATGGGCTTATGATGAACGCATTTGAGGAGAACTCTAAAGTCACCGTGCCACAGATGATCAAGTGAGCCCCATTCACAACCACAGCAAAACAGTTAATGAGATGTTCATGCAACATACAGATCTTTGTGGTGTCTTTATTTGTGTGTTCTAGTGTTTTCATATGTGTTTGTGTGTTTTTCTGTGAGCAGGTCAGACGCCAGCCTGTACTGTGACGACGTGGACATCCGTTTCAGTAAGATGATGAACTCGTGTAAGGTGCTACAGATCCGCTATGCCAGCGTGGAGAGACTCCTGGAGAGGCTGACGGACCTGCGCTTCCTCTCCATCGACTTCCTCAACACCTTCTTGCACTCCTACCGTGTGTTCACCAGCGCAAACGTGGTGCTGGACAAACTCATAACCATCTACAAGAAACCCATCAGTGCCATCCCAGCCCGGTAAGGCCATAAAGGAGATGCTAGTACTTTAGCCTTGACTTTGACAAACACAGCCAGCAAAATGTCCAGATCTATCTCATGCATAGTGCTTTAGCTGTTTAAAGAAGATACATATTCAGTGTTTTTGCATTGCCATGTCCCCGACACAGTAAAGAGGGCTGAAGTTAGGGCTGATGACGATAACATCCCCTGACAGGCCCAGCAGCCTATGGCCTCATCTGGCTGCCTCTATCTCCTTTAGCCCAACACTGATTTCCTCACAGCTCTACTTCCACAGCCCACAGTATTAGGTTTTCTTAACCGCGTCCTGTGTGTGTGTGTGTGTGTGTGTGTGTGTGTGTGTGTGTGTGTGTGTGTGTGTGTGTGTGTGTGTGTGTGTGTGTGTGTGTGTGTGTGTGTGTGTGTGTGTGCGTGTGTGTGTGTGTGCACGTGTGTGTGTGCACGTGTGTGCGCATGTGTGTGCGCGTGTGCGTTTGTGTGTGTGTGTGTGTGTGTGTGTGTGTGTGTGTGTGTGTGTGTGTGTGTGTGTGTGTGTGTGTGTGTGTGTGAGGGAAGGTGAGATGAGGTGAGGTGAGGAGAGGTCATGTCTGTGTGTGTCAGTGTGGTGTGTGTTCTGAGTGAGAAGGCAGTAATTGGGCCCAGACTCTTCTCCTGCCTGCCTAAGAGCGTCTCAGCAGGGCTCTGTCGCTGTCACCTTAGCAACCGGTCTCTCTGCTGCAGGACTCCACCCTCCCCTGGTCTGCAGATGATCTATAGCATGAAGTATTTATGGTGCGTGTTGTCGAGCAGAGCAGACCCCTTCTCCGGCCTAGTATAGTGAGCCCAGCTCCCAGGCTCAGATCAGGGGGAGCTCCCTCCCCATGCCCACACCCTGCAGCATGTTCTCCTGTGGAGCCTGTCATGTCTCTGTGAGCCATCGCCACTCTGATGCTTGTGTCAGCAGCATGGCCGCTCGCTCGCGGTGTCACTCGCTGTGCTATTTATGGGAACTCGTGAGGTCGCGATGAGGGTGGCAGTGAGTGGGAGAGGTTTTCTGCAACATTGTATCAGATTTTTTTGTTTTGTTGCAGAAATACCATGTTGCCTTGTATTGTCGCTGTTGACAATGTATTGATTTCTATATTTAACACAGAAAGACATGCATAATTCTGATATCTTTGTTCTTTGCAACACACTGAAGTGCTGAAGTACGTAGCTACAATACATTCTTCTGACTAGAATAAAATGTGTTGTTTTTCCCTGATGCAGATCCCTGGAGTTGTTCTTTGCCAGCAGTCAGAACAATAAACTCCTATATGGGGAGCCTCCTAAATCCCCCAGGGCCAGCCGTAAGTTCTCCTCCCCCCCTCCCCTGGCTATCACCAAGACATCGTCCCCCAACCGCCGGCGTAAGCTCTCCCTCAACATCCCCATCATCACTGGAGGAAAGGCTCTGGACCTGGCCGCCCTCAGCTGCTCCTCCAACGGCTATGCAAGCATGTACTCCTCCATGTCCCCCTTCAGCAAGACCACCCTGGACATCAACAAGTTATATGTCACCAGCCCCATCACCAGCAAGATCCCTGCTGAGGGAGAGGGCAAGACAGACAAGGCAGAGGAGACCACTGTGTCTAAACAAGGTAAGCCAGCTAATCTGCACTGTGGAGATGGGGGGATTTATGTCCTTACTGGTGCTTCTAAAGAGGAATTTGGGCTATTTATTTGAATATAGAATGAGGGTGCAGGATTTGAATCATGAGAAGTGTCTAGAATGTGGTATTTACTGACCTGTTTTGCGCTTGGTGTAGATATTTCAGTTCCGGAGGAAAGTGACATTGACCAAAACCAGAGCGATGACGCAGACCCAGAAACGTCTCCTATCAAGTCGCCAACCACCCCTCAAAAAAATGTGAAGTGCAAAAACTCCTCAGGTACATTGTGTCCCAGACAGCACAGTGGTGTTGTTATCGCTCAGCGCCATGATACCAGAGCACCTGGATCACATGCTGGCAAGCCACCTGCATCCTCCTCTCAGCCAAAATACCCTATTTATCAATAACTCAAATATGCTCTTCTGTTAAACAGAGTCAGTGATAAGGAATCAAAACATACAGTTTTAAGGATTTTTTTATTGTTTTTATTTATATATACAGTACCAGTGAAAAGTTTGGACACACCTACTCATTCAAGGGTTTTTCTTTATTTTTACAATTATTTACATTGTAGAATAATAGTGAAGACATCAAAACTATGAAATAACACATATGGAATTATGTAGTAACCAAAAAAGTGTTAAACAAATCAAAATATAGTTTATATTTTAGATTCTTCAAAGTAGCCTTGATGACAGCTTTGCACACTCTTGGCATTCTCTCAACCAGCTTCATGAGGTAGTCACCTGGAATGCATTTCAATTAACAGATGTGCCTTGTTAAAAGTTAATTTGTGGAATGTCTTTCCTTCTTAATGCGTTTGAGCCAATCAGTTGTGTTGTGACAAGGTAGGGGTGGTATACAGAAGATAGCCCTATTTGGTAAAAGACTAAGTCCATATTATGGCAAGAACAGCTCGAATAAGCAAAGAGAAACGACAGTCCATCATTACTTTAAGACATGAAGGTCAGTCAATCCGGATAAATTTCAAGAACTTTGAAGTTGAAGTTTCTTCAAGTGCAGTCGCAAAAACCATCAAGCGCTATGATGAAACTGGCTCTCATGAGGACCGCCACAGGAAAGGAAGACCCAGAGTTACCTCTGCTGCAGAGGATAAGTTCATTAGAGTTACCAGCCTCAGAAATTGCAGCCCAAATAAATGCTTCACAGAGTTCAAGTAACAGACACATCTCAAAATCAACTGTTCAGAGGAGACTGCATGAATCAGGCCTTCATGGTCGAATTGCTGCAAATAAAGCACTACTAAAGGACAACAATAATAAGAAGAGACTGGCTTGGGCCAAGAAACACGAGCAATGGACATTAGACCGGTGGAAATCTGTCCTTTGGTCTGATGAGTCCAAATGTTGGTTCCAACCGCCGTGTCTTTGTGAGATGCAGAGTAGGTGAACGGATGATCTCTGCATGTTTGGTTCCCATCATGAAGCATGGAGGAGGAGGTGTGATGGTGTGGGGGTGCTTTGCTGGTGACACTGTCAGTGATTCATTTAGAATTCAAGGCACACTTAACCAGCATGGCTACCACAGCATTCTACAGCGATACGCCATCCCATCTGGTTTGCGCTTAGTGGGACTATAATTTGTTTTTCAACAGGGCAATGACCCAACACACCTCCAGGTTGTGTAAGGGCTATTTGACCGAGAAGGAGAGTGATGGAGTGCTGCATCAGATGACCTGGCCTCCACAATCACCCGACCTCAACCCAATTGAGATGGTTTGGGATGAGTTGGACCACAGAGTGAAGGAAAAGCAGCCAACAAGTGCTCAGCATATGTGGGAACTCCTTCAATACTTATTCATGTTATTTCCTCTACCTACCATTATAAATAGTCAAAAGTGATAGAGAAAAATGCTCCTTTGAGTGTTCTATGCCTATTCAATTGTCAGTGCCATGGTGCATACACTGCAGGAATGCTCAATTCTGTGTGCAATGATCTCTGCCACACAAGATAAAATTCATGCAGACTGTAATTTGGTGGAGAGAATATGAACATGCAGGGAAAGCCAACGCTAGGAATGAGTAGGTGTTGGGGATACTTGTGTCATAGCAACTACGGTATGAGCGTGTTTCCCTGCCTGCCGCCCCCGGTAACGAGGTTGTTTTAGTACAAGACAGTCAGTGAAGAAGGCTTCTGCTGTCTGTCTTCCAGCTCTCAGGACAGAATGTACACCAGGTCAAAGGTGAATAGAAACCTGGCATAATTTACATTTACAGTACCGTGGCGGCAGGTAGTCTAGCGGTTACGAGCATTGGGCCAGTAACGGAATGGTCGCTGGTTTGAATCCCTAGGTGAAAAATCTGTTGATGTGCCCTTGAGAAAGGCACATTGGTCCTGTAAGTCACTCTGGATAAGAGTGTCCACAAAATTGTACTCAGATCAGTTTTATATTACTCTTACCATAAAGCTCAACTTATCTTATTTGTTAATTAATCACACAGTAATGTATGTTTATTGTCAGTCAGTGTGCACAGAAACCAGTCCATTCTTCCATTATGCTGATATTGGTGGCTATATTTAGCTACATCCATCTTGAATATCAAAGCCTCATGTAAGGTCTCTATGTTCTACTGGGAGAGAATGTGGTGCTATTGGGTTCTGCTGCCCTCTACCGGAGACAGAATAAATGAAAACGTCCTGTTACACAATGAATTACACTGACACAATAGCTAATGCCTTTTTGGATAAGATCCATTTAGTTGCATATCAGGATTAATGTTGCTTGCTAACCGTTGTCAACTACCTATTAAATCTCAGCGAAAAAGTTAGAGTTGCAGTTCCTACTGAAGTAGTAGTGACCCATTAGTGACCTATTGGACACAGACGTCAGTTCAAGGTCTAGTTTTGATTTACATTTGGTTGAATTGTCAACTATTGTGAATTCAATGTGAAATCAACAAAAAAATTCACCATGTCATTGGATTTAGGTTAAACGTTAGGTGAAAATAATAAATGCCCTTATGTTGATTACTTTTTGCAAATCCACGTTGATTCAATGTCATCATATTGATTTTTTGGGGTTGAAATTATGTGGAAACAATGTTGATTTAACCCGTTTTTGCCCAGTGGTTAGAGACCAATAAAGAGCATTTGATGCAGCTGACACTTTCATGGATCTCTTTAGTGGCTGTCCTAGTGCAGTCATAATCTCAACAATTATCTTTTATTGGCTTGGAATGGTCTTTCCATTTTATACCTACAGTACTTTATTGTAAAGGTATCGCATTACATCAATTAAGTTCACTAAAATGAATCCCATGGCATTTTACAGCCAGTATAACTGTCTCCATATTGTATCTTCCTGTAGAATTCTCCCTGTTCTCCTACAACAATGGCACGGTGATGTCGTCGTGTCGCCCTGAGATGGACAACAACAACCGCAGTGCCCTCTCTGCAGCCTCCGCCTTCGCCATCGCCACGGCAGGAGCCAATGAGGGCACGCCCACCAAGGAGAAGTACCGCCGCATGTCCCTGGCCAGCACAGGTACAGAGCGTATTAAACATCAGTTCTGTCCACAATGGGACAATTTGAGTACACCACATGTTCAAAAGCATGAGAACTTTAATCATTTTTGTTCTCCTCAAGATAAAACAAAATCGATATAGTCATTCAAAATGTTGGTGTGATATTTACATGGCGTATTTGATCAATTTTCACCAGGGTTCCAAACAGACCAGAGAAATGGGGACAAAGAGTTTGTCATCCGAAGGGCTGCAACCAACAGAGTGCTGAATGTTCTGAGGCACTGGGTGTCAAAACACTCTCAGGTAATAGTTCCAGATACATAGTTATGATAATTCACTACTTCTAATGTAAAATTGAGTCCAGGTTTCCAATCAGTTAACTATTTTGTATTTGTGTTGACCTCCAGGACTTTGAGAGTAACACTGAGCTGAAGCTGAAGGTAATAGCCTTCCTGGAGGAGGTGATGCATGACCCGGAGCTGCTGACCCAGGAGAGGAAAGCAGCCGCCAACATCATCAGGTACCTACCAACACTACCATCGCCTCAGCTTATAGACACTCTGTTATCATTGAATACATGGGCTATTACTTCTATAGGGCTGATTAACACTGATGTACAGAGTAAAGAGAAACACATTATAAATACATACTTGACTCTGTTGTATGGTCTATTAGGACCCTGACACAGGAGGACCCTGGTGACAATCAGATCAGCCTGGAGGAGGTGACACAGCTGGTGAGTGGGATGTCTGCATGTATCTGGCAGTAATGTAAAGAAGACACTGTGTTTTACACAAGACGGCAATTCAGTCAATAGAGGACAATCTCTCTTTGACATATGTTAGAATATAGTGAAGTAGTTGTCATACCTCGCGTCTTGAGAATGTTTACCAGTGATGCTCTGTTGTGTGTGTGCTAGGCGTCAGTAGGGAAGGCGGAGGCGTTTGAGAGCCATTCTGCCCTGGAGATAGCAGAGCAGCTCACCCTACTGGACCACCTGGTGTTTAAGGTCATCCCATACGAGTGAGTGACACCCAAACACATGTTGTATTCTCAGTTGATGATACATACAGATGTACAATATGGGAGATATACAGTGATTTTTGAATAACATTCATGCAGTATTAATAAGAATAAATTAGATGTATTTCTACTTGATCCTCCAATATTGTTTTATAGAGAGTTCTTTGGTCAAGGCTGGATGAAGAATGACAAGAATGAAAGGACACCATATATCATGAAAACAACAAAGCACTTCAATGATGTATGCAGCCAACAACGCCCATCCCCCAACATAATATTACCACTGTACATCTTCACTTTTTTATTACAGTGTATGGCTTTGGTTGTTATGCATTAGGAACATGGCTATTCCTTGTCTGTCTTGCCTCTGTTAGATCAGTAACCTGATTGCCACGGAGATCCTGCGCTGTGACGACGTGACCACACGGGTGGCGGTGATGGAGAAGTGGGTGGCGGTGGCGGACATCTGCCGTTGTCTCCATAACTACAACGCTGTGCTGGAGATCACCTCCTCCCTCAACCGCAGCTCTGTATTCCGCCTCAAGAAGACCTGGCTCAAAGTGTCCAAGCAGGTGGCCACATCTCCTCACTACACACGCCCAGCTCACTGTGGGCTCGTAGCGTGGTCCTAGTAATATTACTACACGTTTTATCATTGCACTGGGACCTCAATACACTCTTATAAACAGCTTGATATGACACCTCAGACCTCTATGAATCCGTATTGCTTATTAACGATTACACATCACTTTAACAAAGGTGATTATACCTGGGTGTTTTCCAACATAATATTTTGATACAGTATTTTATTTCATCCCTCAGACTAAAACAGTAATTGACAAGCTGCAGAAGTTGGTTTCGTCAGAGGGGAGGTTCAAAAACCTGAGGGAGGCTTTAAAGAAGTAAGTGTTTCTTCTGCTTGTTCTAATAACTACAAAAGCCAATGTGTACCATTCGGGCAGTGGATCGATCAAAGTATAAGCAAATTGGTGACATCCTGCTCTTCTGTTTTTCCTTGTAGCTGTGACCCTCCCTGTGTACCATACCTGGGGATGTACCTCACTGATCTGGCTTTCATTGAGGAGGGGACGCCCAACTACACTGAGGACAAATTAGTCAACTTCTCAAAGATGAGGATGGTAAGCGGTCTCTGCTGTATAATATAATCATACATAATGTATAATATATAATATAATGTATAATATAGAGATATTAAAATGTATTCTCTGGCTTTGTATTGTATATATGGCTTATGTTGTTCTCGCTCTGCAGATTTCCCATATCATCAGAGAAATTAGACAATTCCAGCAAACAGCATACAAGATTGATCATCAGCCAAAGGTAAACTTTTAAAGCTGTTTCGTGCTAAATTGTGTTATATTGTACATATAAAGAGAAACAGAAGAAAATGGCAATGGCCATGAGGGAAGTCAAATTTAAAGTCTGAGTGTCTGTATTTGTCACATCGTATAGATTATCGTAGTAGTAGCCAACCTGCTGAAACTGTATATTTGTCCTGGTCTAGGCAGCACAGTATTTGCTGGACAACAGCTCTGTTTTGGATGAAGAAAGCCTGTATGAAGCCTCTCTCAGAATTGAGCCTAAAGTCAACAACTGAAGAGGATGACAGTTTCCCAAAGTGTACTCTGTTAAAAAACTATTATCATACACAGTAGACATAAACAATAACTGGTGTTAAGTCATGTTTAACATTTTTGCTCTTTATACGTGTATTGTTTTTAGAAGTAATCTTATGTACACATGTTAATTTAATCGTCACATTGTTGTTGAAATATTTCATTTTTCCTCTGCAACAAGGACCATTTCACTGGGCTTATTAGAGTTATAACTAAAGTCACAATGATCTTGTATAATGGTGTGTCCTTTGTAACCAATGAAATTGATTGACACCTTTTCATACTGTGGACTTTGCACTTCCTGTAAGCACACATGCTGCCAGGGTCCTACTGTACAGGAAAGATTGTTCTCTTTACTCAAATAGATATAATGTGTTTATCTGCAACTGATGTAGCATTGTAAAAATCTAACCAGGTAAAACAACATGGACATTTTTAAACCCAAAATTGATGCGGCTAAACCAATGAGTGTACCTTTAATTGTTCTATATCAATCCCGCCTCCTCCCTGCTTTGATTATTTGCTTCCACTTTTTGTAGCTCTATCAACATTTGAGTAATCTTGTCACAGTTGTGACAGAGATGTGAGCGCCACTAGCCCCACAGAGCTTTGTCTTGTCGTCATGAGGAGTGATTCTTACATAATAAGATATTACACTTGCCTGATACAGGAAACACCTGCTCTTAGTAGAAGTTATTGACTTGCAGCACGGTACTGAATCTGTTCTGAAATGAATGAAGAATAACTAATATATAAGGGCATATTCACACAACAAGCTTTTATCTAAGAACCAGCCAGGTCTGGTTTGTTTTGAAAACAAATTGAAGTCCAGTGTGAATACACCCTAACCTAGAACATGATTAACAATATTTGTAGCTTTATTTCATTACTGTTGCATGTTGCATTGTAACACGCGGTTAAATCACAAACCTCTTACTGTATATTTGCAGAAGTAATTCAAGTCAAGTAGCCATGAATTCCATTTTGTTTTGCAGAATAAACTCTATTAATCCATGTTATTTAAAGGGCTGGTAATAAGCCAGTGTACGTTATATCTCCAATACAAGAGTACTTCCAGTTTGACAATGATTAGTTGTGGGTGACATCTTGTTTGACTAGGAGTTTGGGGAAGTTTGCTGCTATTCTTGGAGCATGCCATTGTAGCTGTTTCCCTTTTTCAAAGCACATGTTTGTTTGCTTTCAATTTAAACTTAACGGAGCACACATATTAAAGAAAAATAAAGCAACACCCTTGAAATTGTAGTATTTTCAGGCTTTGTGATATTTGTGTACAGTAAAAGGTTATTCCGCTATTATACTGTATAATTCAAAGACAATCTATGTCCTTTTGCTGTTCCAGTGATTGTGGAACGTGACCGTATATCACTCTGTTAAATGCATTGTTGTTTAAGAGTATGATAAAAGTAAGTGAATGAGTTACTCCGCCTGCAGCATTCAAAAGGTATTTTTGTAGTATTAGTATAAGGTAAGGGGTTACAAGAACACAGGGAAGTATTTTGTACTTTGTTGTTGTTATTTCACCTTGCTGAAATGTATGCTGTACATTTTGTACATGCAGCCCTGCATATTTCTTAATGTGGAACAGTGTCAAGTACACCTCTGAAAAGCATTGTATCCCAAGCTTCAACACAAAATGCTACAACAATTGTAATTTTGAAACCATGACTTAGAGGTAGAAGACAACTTCAAAGTGTTTTGCATATACTGTAATCCTGTCTATAATCATTCTCTTAGCAGGAATATAGTAATGTAGTGCTTATTCTGTGAATATTTGTATGTATTTTTACCATGTACAGTCTAGAAACATTTAAAGCTCATATGGCAGGCATGCAACACTGTATCAGACAATATTAAAACAATATATATACATATATATACTGTATACACTTATACGTGCACATACTCTTATAAATGAAATATTAACAAACAAACGTTTTGCTGTTAGCAATACCCAGTGGTATGAGAATTATCTTTCAACCCTTATGTTTATTTCCACAGCTTGAGAAATATTTCCAGTTTTGTAAAAAAGAAAAAATGTATGTTTCCTGATTACCTCTTGCTAATAAATCTATTCTATCTCAGGGGCATTGTTGTCTCAAGTGTGTTTGTGAGAAAACAATGCTATTTTTTTTCTCTCTTTTCTCTCTCCCCATCCCCCTCTATCACATGCACACACACACCACACAAACACACACTCTGCCATAGCATGTGCTGGAGGTGAAATAATTTGTGTTGTTGCAATAAAAAGCTATTAAACACATTTTCTGTTGCATTATTGATAATGGGATAGGGGTATGGGAGAGAAAAACCATGGGATATTTATTTATGGGCCCCATTGTGCATGGAGAGCTCTCAGCTCTGTTTTGGAATCAGTGCACTCATGATATGCTCTTATTTATTCAGTTGTGGGGGTTTGGAGTCGGACACAGTGATTCAAGAGAAGAAGAAAAAGTGAGAGAAAACACGAGTTCATCTTCAGAAATAAGCATGAGTTAATCTGCCAAAATACAGACAAAATGCTATGCAGACATATAATTATTATGATGTAGAAGAACAATTTACATTAAATTTTTGTCAGCAGCAGCTGAAAGAGAGATCCTCTACCTCTGATAGTTCTGGGTTACTGCCAGACTGAGCAAAACATAGTGTGTTAAAAGTCATGTAATGATTAACTAGGCTATTGAATCCAATACTTATTATACATAATTTATTATAAATAATTTATACATACACCACATGAACAAAAGTATGTGGACACCTACTCGTCGAACATCTCATTCCAAAATCATGGGCATTAATATGGAGTTGGTCCCCCCTTTGCTGCTCTAACAGCCTCCACTCTTCTGGGAAGGCGTTACACTAGATGTTGGAACATTGCTGCGGGGACTTGATCCATTCAGCCACAAGAGCAATGATTAGGTCGGGCACTGATGTTGAGCGATTAGGCCTGGCTCGCAGTCGGCGTTCCAATTCATCCCAAAGGTGTTCGAGGGGGTTGAGGTCACGGCTCTGTAAAGGCCAATCAAGGTCTTCCACACCGATCTCGACAAACCATTTCTGTATGGACCTCGCTTTGTGCACGGGGGCATTGTCATGCTGAAACAATAAAGGGCCTTCCCCAAACTGTTGCCACAAAGTTGGAAGAACAGAATCGTCTAGAATTGTCAGCGGCTGAGCCGTTGTTGCTACTAGACGTTCCCACTTAACAATAACAGCCCTTACAGTTGACCGGGGAAGCTCTAGCAGGGCAGAAATTTGCCGAACTGACTTGTTGGAAAGGTGGCATCCTATGACGGCGCCACATTTAAAGTCACTGAGCGCTTCAGTAAGGCCATTCTACTGCCAATGTTTGGCTATGGAGATTGCATGGCGGTGTACTCGATTTTATACACCTGTCAGCAAAGAAGGTTGACGACATCCGATCCTCGTTTGTTAAGTCTAATGACACTGCTGGTCCTGCTCACACTGCCCTACCCTATGCTTTGACTTCTTTCTCCCCTCTCTCTCCAGATAAAATCCTGCGACTTGTGACTGCAGGCCGCCCAACAACCTGCCCGCTTGACCCCATCCCCTCCTCCCTTCTCCAGACCATCTCCGGTGACCTTCTCCCCTACCTCACCTCGCTGATCAACTCATCCTTGACCGCTGGCCATGTCCCTTCCGTCTTCAAGAGAGCGAGAGTTACTCCCCTTCTCAAAAAACCAACACTCGACCCCACTGATGTCAACAACTACAGACCAGTATCCCTTCTTTCTTTTCTTTCCAAAACTATTGAGCGTGCCGTCTTTAGCCAACTCTCTTGCTATCTCTCTCAGAATGACCTTCTTGATCCAAACCAATCAGGTTTCAGGACTGGTCATTCAACTGAGACTGCTCTTCTCTGTGTCACGGAGACTCTCCGCACTGCTAAAGCTAACTCTCTCTCCTCTGCTCTTGTCCTTCTAGACCTGTCTGCTGCCTTTGATACTGTGAACCATCAGATCCTCCTCTCCACCCTCTCCGAGATGGGCATCTCCGGCGCGGCTCACTCCTGGATTGCGTCCTACCTGACCGGTCGCTCCTACCAAGTGGCGTGGCGGGAAGCTGTCTCCGCACCACGTGCTCTCACCACTGGTGTCCCCCAGGGATCGGTTCTGGGCCCTCTCCTTTTCTCCCTATACACCAAGTCACTTGGCTCTGTCATATCCTCACATGGCCTTTCCTATCATTGCTACGCTGACGATACACAACTAATCTTCTCCTTTCCCCCTTCTGATAACCAGGTGGCGAATCGCATCTCTGCATGTCTGGCAGACATATCAGTATGGATGACGGATCACCACCTCAAGCTGAACCCTGGCAAGACGGAGCTGCTCTTCCTCCCGGGGAAGGACTGCCCGTTCCATGATCTCGCCATCACGGTTGACAACTCCGCTGTGTCCTCCTCCCAGAGTGCGAAGAGCCTAGGCGTGACCCTGGACAACACCCTGTCGTTCTCCGCCAACATCAAGGCGGTGACCCGCTCCTGCAGGTTCATGCTCTACAACATTCGGAGAGTGCGACCCTGCCTTACACAGGAAGCGGCGCAGGTCCTGGTCCAGGCACTTGTCATCTCCCGTCTGGACTACTGCAACTCGCTGTTGGCTGGGCTCCCTGCCTGTGCCATTAAACCCCTACAACTCATCCAGAATGCCGCAGCCCGTCTGGTGTTCAACCTTCCCAAGTTCTCTCACGTCACCCCCCTCCTCCGCACACTCCACTGGCTTCCAGTTGAAGCTCGCATCCGCTACAAGACCATGGTGCTTGCCTATGGAGCAGTGAGGGGAACGGCACCTCTGTACCTTCAGGCTCTGATCAGTCCCTACACCCAAACGAGGACATTGCGTTCATCCACCTCTGGCCTGCTGGCTCCCCTTCCTCTGCGGAAGCATAGCTCCCGCTCAGCCCAGTCAAAACTGTTCGCTGCTCTGGCACCCCAATGGTGGAACAAGCTCCCTCACGACGCCAGGACAGCGGAGTCACTCACCACCTTCCGGAGACATTTGAAACCCCACCTCTTTAAGGAATACCTGGGATAGGATAAAGTATTCCTTCTAACCCCCCCCCCCCCCCCAAATTGTAAAGTGGTTATCCCACTGGCTATAGGGTGAACGCACCAATTTGTGAGTCGCTCTGGCTAAGAGCGTCTGCTAAATGACGTTAATGTGCCCTTGAGCAAGGCACTTAACCCTAATTGCTCCTGTAAGTCGCTCTGGTTAAGAGCGTCTGCTAAATGACTAAAATGTAAAATGTAAATGTAATAGTGTACCTCCTCTCAGTCAGCAACATTGTTCTAATAATGGCTTCATGAAACATAGTCCCTTCAATTGACTCCACACTGAAATACTGAAATAAAATCAACAATTAGCTAATTGCCAATGTCAGGCTGGGTCTGTAGCTCTATTTGGCATATCACATAATAAAAATGTACGTTTATTTGAAAGTTAGCTGGCTAGCTTGTAAAGTGGTGAATTAAATTAGCCTAGTTTTTTCTGTATAGCTAGCTAGCTTACAAATGTGCTCAAATGCTAATGACATTTCAACATTATTTATCTAGCCCATAGTTTATCATATGACTTAGGCTTCAAATATTTGAATTAAATAATCAACATTGTTTACCTTAATACATTAAAAATGAATTGGTAGGCTACTTGCAAGTTGGTTTAACTGGTGACATACAGTACCAGTCAAAAGTTTGGACACACCTACTCGTTCAAGGGTTTTTCTTTATTTTTACTATTTTCTACATTGTAGAATAATAGTGAAGACATCAAAACTATGAAATAACACATATGGAATCATGTAGTAACCAGAAAAGTGTTAAACAAATCAAATATATTTTATATTTGAGATTCTTCAAATAGCCACCCTTTGCCTTGATGACAGCTTTGCACACTCTTGGCATTATCTATTGAGTGTTTTATCTAATGCATACTGGAATGCACTGTATCCACATAAAATTAAATTGTAAATTCACAATGACCTGAATTGTTTTATGTTACTGTGTTATCCGTGCAGTACAATAAGGTGTATGACATGGAGGAGTACTACCACAGACTTCAGATCTTTATTGAGAACAATAGAAGGCTTGACCATCACAATGAAGGGAATCACAAGTTCACAAGTATGAATAATTGCATTATAGTTGGGTTTCTTCAGTTGATAGAAGTGTCCATATCCTTTGAGTATGTCAGCATATTAATTATGCCATCTTCTGACATTTGACCTCTACCTAGTGGGACTGAATCAGTTCTCGGACTTGACCTTTGTTGAATTCAGACAATCTTTCCTCTTGACTGAGCCCCAGGTATTTATGTTCCTGTTAGGTATACTTCTCATGGTTTTTACTTGAAAAAATACATTTTAATTGACTGTGTCTTTCTTAGATCTGTTCTGCCACTAAAGGGAGTCATGTGAGCAGCAATGGACCATATCCAGACTCGGTCGACTGGAGAAAGAAAGGGCACTATGGCACAGCCGTGAAGAACCAGGTATCCTTACACATACAGTATAGGACATCTTTTCGAGGATAAAATCAGGCATTATCTGGCAAGGTAAGCGGAACACTACTGTATGAGGAAAGCCCAAAAAATTGTCAAAGACTCCAGTCACCCAAGTCATAGGCTGTTCTCTCTGCTACCGCACGGCAAGCGGTACCGCGGTACCGGAGTGCCAAGTCTAGGACCAAAAGGCTCCTTAACAGCTTCTACCACCCTTATCTATGCATAGTCACTTTACCCCTACCTACATGTACAAATTACCTGGACTAACCTGTACCCCCGCACATTGACTCGGTACCGGTACCCCTGTATATAGCCTTGTTATTGTTATTTTATTGTGTTACTTTTTATTATTTTTTACTTTAGTTTATTTGGTAAATATTTTCTTAACTCTTTCTTGAATTGCGTTGTTGGTTAAGGGCTTGTAAGTAAGCATTTCACGGTAAGGTCTACACGTGTTGTATTCGGCGCATGTGACAAATAAAGTTTGATTTGATTTGATGTGCTGAAGGTAGATGTTGATTTGTGGTATTCAGGGGCCCTGTGGTAGCTGCTGGACCTTTTCCACTACAGGCTGTTTGGAGTCAGTCACAGCCATCACAACAGGGAAACTCCTACAACTGGTGAGATACTTTCTTATCTACTTCTCTATTCTAACACAAAGTGGGAAGGAAAGCTGGCCTCCTTTTACTGAGGCAATTCAATACAATTTTTACAATTGCGTTTAAGGCTAGTAGTTGCCTCGATTTATTACCAGTGATTGCAATACCTTTTGGAATTAATTGAAATTCTTGTCCCATCTCTGATCGTGAAGTCATGTGAGCAGCAATATATTTTATCCAACTGCTGCTATCTTTATATTGTTCAGTCAGAGCAGCAACTAGTGGACTGTGCTCAGGCCTTCAACAACCATGGCTGTAAGGGGTGAGTGTCACCACTGGAAAACCTATTTCCTTGTAAATACTGTATATTCACAAAAATCTCTTGGTCTAACTGGACACTATTCGATTCTTACTGAGGCTCTGAAAAAAAGTATATTTTAGCGGCCTCCCCAGTCAAGCATTTGAGTACATCAAGTATAACAAGGGACTCATGACAGAGGATGACTATCCATACACAGCACATGTATGTAAACAGCAATGCCATCTTTATAACAACTACAGTACTAGCACTTCGAAAGGCGACAATCTATTAACATCATTTATGTTGGAATCATTTTGAAGGAGGGCACTTGCAAGTTCAAGACTGATTTGGCTGCTGCTTTCGTTAAGTATGTGGTCAACATAACAAAGGTAAGTAAATGCACATTACTTTGGATTGTTTTGTGCATTGACTACCCAGGCAGTCATTTTATTGTATGTTTATTCCATGGCAGTATGATGAAATGGGTATGCTGGATGCAGTGGCCAGACACAACCCTGTCAGCCTTGCCTATGAGGTGACCTCTGATTTCATGCATTACCATGATGGTGTGTACAAATCAAATCAAATTTTATTGCCACATGCGCCGAATACAACAGGTGTAGACATTACAGTGAAATGCTTACTTACAAGCCCTTAACCAACAATGCATAAAAATTAAAAAAAAAAAAAAAAGCTAATAACTAAAGAGCAGCAGTAAAATAAAATAACTGTTATGAGGCTATATTCAGGGGGTTACCGGTGTAGAGTCAATGTGCGGGGGCACCGGCTAGTCGAGGTAATTGAGGTAATATGTACATGTGGGTAGAGTTAAAGTGACTATGCATAAATAATAAACACAGTAGCAGCAGCGTAAAAGAGGGGGTGGCGTAAAAGAGGGGGTGGGGGTGGCGGGGCAGTGCATTGCAAATAGTCAGGGTAGCCATGATTAGCTGTTCATGAGTCTCATGGCTTGGGGGTAGAAGCTGTTGAGAAGCCTTTTGGACCTAGACTTGGCGCTCCGGTAGCGCTTGCCGTGCCCTAGTAGAGAGAACAGTCTATGACTAGGGTGGCTCGAGTCTTTGACAATTTTGAGGGCCTTCCTCTGACACCACCTGGTATAGAGGTCCTGGATGGCAGGAAGCTTGGCCCCAGTGATGTACTGGGCCGTATGCACTACCCTCTGTAGTGCCTTGCGGTCGGAGGCCGAGCAGTTGCCATACCAGGCGGTGATGCAACCAGTCAGGATACTCTCGATGGTGCAGCTGTAGAATTGATCTGAGGACCCATGCCAAATCTTTCCAGTCTCCTGAGGGGGAATAGGATTTGTCGTGCCCTCTTCACGACTGTCTTGGTGTGTTTGGACCATGATAGTTTGTTGGTGATGTAGACACCAAGGAACTTGAAGCTCTCAACCTGTTCCACTACAGCCCTTTTTTTTCTGTAGTCCACAATCATCTCCATTGTCTTGATCACGTTGAGGGAGAGGTTGTTATCCTGGCATCACACGGCCAGGTCTCTGACCTCCTCCCTATAGGCTGTCTCATCATTGTCGGTGATCAGGCCTACCACTGTTGTGCCGTCTGCAAACTTAATGATGGTGTTGGAGTCGTGCCTGGCAGTGCAGTCATGGGTGAGCAGGGAGTACAGGAGGGGACTGAGCACGCACCCCTGAGGGGCCCCCGTGTTGAGGATCAACATGGCAGATGTGTTGTTACCTACCCATACCACCTGGGGTGGCCCGTAAGGAAGTCCAGGATCCAGTTGCAGAGGGAGGTGTTTAGTCCCAGGGTCCTTAGCTTAGTGATGAGCTTTGAGGGCACTACGGTGTTGAATGCTGAGCTGTAGTCAATTAATAGTATACTCATGTAGGTGTTCCTCTTGTCCAGGTGGGAAAGGGCAGTGTGGAGTGCAATAGAGATTGCATCATCTGTGGATCTGTTGGGGCAGTATGCAAATTGGAGTGGGTCTAGGGTTTCTGGGATAATGGTGTTGATGTGAGCCATGACCAGCCTTTCAAAGCATTTCATGGCTACAGACGTGAGTGCTACGGGTCGGTAGTCATTTAGGGAGGTTATCTTAGTGTTTTTGGGCACAGGGCCTATGGTGGTCTGCTTGAAACATGTTGGTATTACAGACTCAGTCAGGGACATGTTGAAAATGTCAGTGAAGACACTTGCCAGTTGGTCAGCGCATGCTCGGAGAACACATCCTGGTAATCCGTCTGGCCTTGCGGGCCTTGTGAATGTTGACCTGCTTAAAAGTCTTACTCACATCGGCTACGGAGAGCGTGATCACATAGTCATCCGGAACAGCTGATGCTCTCATGCATGCTTCAGTGTTGCTTGCCTCGAAGCGAGCATAGAAGTGATTTAGCTCGTCTGGTAGGCTTGTGTCACTGGGCAGCTTGCGGCTGTGCTTCCCTTTGTAGTCTGTAATAGTTTGCAAGCCCTGCCACATCCGACGAGCGTCGGAGCCGGTGTAGTACGATTCAATCTTAGTCCTGTATTGACTCTTTGCCTGTTTGATTGTTCGTCGGAGGGCATAGCGGGATTTCTTAAAAGCCTCCGGGTTAGAGTCCCACTCCTTGAAAGCGGCAGCTCTACCCTTTAGCTCAGTGCGTATGTTGCCTGTAATCCATAGCTTCTGGTTGGGGTATGTACGTACGGTCACTGTGGGGAAGACGTCATTGATGCATTAATTAATGAAGCCAGTGACTGATGTGGTGTACTCCTCAATGCCATCGGAAAAATCCCGGAACATATTCCAGTCTGTGCTAGCAAAACAGTCCTGTAGCTTAGCATCTGCGTCATCTGACCACTTCCTTATTAACCGAGTCACTGGTGCTACCTGCTTTAGTTTTTGCTTATAAGCAGGAATCAGGAGGATTGAATTATGGTCAGATTTGCCAAATGGAGGGCAGGGGAGAGCGTTGTACGCGTCTCTGTGTGGAGTAAAGGTGGTCTAGAGTTTTTTTTCCTCTGGTTGCACATTTAACATGCTGGTAGAACGGATTTAAGTTTCCCTGCATTAAAGTCCCAGGCCACTAGGAGCGCTGCCTCTGGATGAGCGTTTTCCTGTTTGCTTATGACTTATACAGCTCATTGAGTGCAATCTTAGTGCCAGCATCGGTTTGTGGTGGTAAATAGACAGCTACGAAAAATATAGAAGAAAACTCTCTTGGTAAATAGTGTGGTCTACAGCTTATCATGAGATACTCTACCTCAGGCGAGCAAAACCTCGAGACTTCCTTAGTATTAGATGTTCTGTACCAGCTGTTGTTTACAAATATACACAAATCGCCAACACTTGTCTTACCGGAGTCAGCCGTTCTATCCTGCCGATGTAGCGTATATCCTGCCAGCTGTATATTGTCCATGTCGTCGTTCAGCCACGACTCGGTGAAACATAAGATATTACAGTTTTTAATGTCCCGTTGGTAGGATATCCTTGATCTTAGGTCGTCCATTGTGTTTTCAAATGATTGTATGTTGGCTAATAGGATTGATGGAAGAGGCAGATTACTTGCTCGCCATCGGATCCTTATAAGGCACCCCGACCTACTTCCCGATATCTCTGTCTCTTTCTCATGCGAATGACGGGGATTTGGGCCATGTCGGGTGTCTGTAGAATATCCTTCGCGTCCGACTCGTTGAAGAAAAAATCTTCGTCCAATATGAGGTGAGTAATCGCTGTCCTGATATCCAGAAGCTCTTTTTGGTCATAAGAGACGATGGCAGAAACATTATGTACAGAATAAATTACAAATAACGCGAAAAAACACACATAATAGCACAATTGGTTTGAGGGCCGTAAAACAGCAGCCATTTCCTCCTGCGCCATCTTTCCAGATCAGTCAAGACATCAGCGCTGTATCAACAAGGGTGTCAATCCTGCAGAGAGTGTCTGATGGTCCTCCTAACGAAAGAAGAGGTGAATAATATGGGTTATGTTTAAGCCAGATGTTTCAGTTTATTTTGAAAATGTCAGTGAACATACCAGTATGCATATAATTATATTGTATTGCCTCCATCATCATTTTATTTGTCCCTTTAGTCACCAATCCAAAGTCAGAAGATCCGTTTTTGAGTATCATGGAGTCCATCTGTGCTCTGGTGGATTCCATCCCTGAGCATGAACTGATAGGCCTGTCCTGTGGGACAGAACTCTTACTGCAGCGGGCTCACAGGTAATTCCTTGATCCTGAACTATTTAATATGGGACAACAGCTGGAGATTAAGTTTCAGCTGTAATTTTACTGTGACATGTATTGATCTGCTAGTCATATCACACTTTTTACCCTCAGGAAAAGGATTACTGGCAGCAGTGACACATATTTCATGACACAACGGCCAGACAGCACTGTCTTGGAACCTTTTATTTTGCTACACCGAGTGTCCTGTCTTCCACAACTTGCCAGCCCAAGGATAAAGGAGATCCTTCCATGAAAGCCCTTCTGTTCAGGAGGTCCTCAGTTATATCTGTGGACTACGACAGCAGTGTGTTTGAGGACTGACTGCATGATCAATGGAGTTCCGACACAAAGCACCTCTTGGAAACCCAGCACTCTGGCAAGTCCTATTTTCACTGAAGACGGGGGGAAAGTATCTACAAGAGGCCAAAGTAATTGTGACTCTCCATGGAATTACACCATCTCCAAAAAACAAACTTGTGATGTTGATCAGTCGATTTTTTCATTGATGACTTTGACATAGATTACATCAATGATTCAGATATCACTGATTACTTTGATGAACCCCCGAGCTCAGCATCAAGGCAGGACTACAGTGCTGTCACTAAAGCGGTGCATAAGGGTGGACCAAGTACATTACCATGGCAAAATAAACCAGCTACACCAGCCCCTGTGGCCAAGCCTACTAAATTCACCTATCCTGGCAAGAACATTCAAGATATAGAGCAGCCTTGAGATTGAATTGTATTGTTCCTTCTACTAAACAAATGTGATTATTTTTTCTTACATGTATTACTTGGTCTGTAGCTCAGACATTCATGTTTACAGTGGGGGAAAAAAGTATTTAGTCAGCCACCAATTGTGCAAGTTCTCCCACTTAAAAAGATGAGAGAGGCCTGTAATTTTCATCATAGGTACACATCAACTATGACAGACAAAATGAGAAAAAAAATTCCAGAAAATCACATTGTAGGATTTTTAATGAATTTATTTGCAAATTATGGTGGAAAATAAGTATTTGGTCAATAACAAAAGTTTCTCAATACTTTGTTATATACCCTTTGTTGGCAATGACACAGGTCAAACGTTTTCTGTAAGTCTTCACAAGGTTTTCACACACTGTTGCTGGTATTTTGGCACATTCCTCCATGCAGATCTCCTCTAGAGCAGTGATGTTTTGGGGCTGTCGCTGGGCAACACGGACTTTCAACTCCCTCCAAAGATTTTCTATGGGGTTGAGATCTGGAGACTGACTAGGCCACTCCAGGACCTTGAAATGCTTCTTACGAAGCCACTCTTTCGTTGCCCGGGCGGTGTGTTTGGGATCA